GGGGTTAAAGGCGAACGGCAATCTCTGGCTAGGCCTCACTGTAATAGTGGAAATGGCAATTAGAAAAATTTACTGGATTATAAGTTAGGGCTATAATTGGTGTCCAATTAGGGGATAGTGCTAACAAGAAGCGTGACCTGATTAATTCTGTTGAGAATCAAGGAATGTTCTTTTGAGAAAGTAGCATTTGCTCTGCACTTTGAAGGACGTTAAGACTCTCTGTAGGAGAATTGTTACTGGGAGTCGAGGTTTAACTGGGAGTTTAGACGAGGTGGCGCTGTGGCCAGTCTCGGGGCGCTCTGACAGTCCTGTCTCCCAGTGTCTGCCCTCAGCGTAGTATGACCCAGTGTGCGTTTTAGAAAAGGGCCCTGCTGAGGAGCCTCGAGGAGCAGTATTGAAGAGGAAATGACTCGAGCCAGGGCCCAACTCGATGACCTGTGTGGTAGTTTTAGAAGAGAGCAGGGTAACGTCAGTGTGGTTAGGGCCGGAGTAAAGCCTTGGCAAAGAACTTAGGTGAAGAAGGCCTAGCAGCTTTGGGGGTTAAAGAAGCAGGAGGAATGGCCCAGCACCGGGGCTCAGGTGGTGATCTGCAGTACTGAAAGCCACGTGGCTGCCACTGGTTTGGATCGGAGACCCCTGAATCACCCTGTGTGCGCACGCTTCGCCAAGGTCCTGCCTAGCTGGAAGTCTGTGGGACACAGGTCGCGGTGTGCATCATGAGGCCCTGTTAAAGGTGCCTGTGTCTCTCACGTGTTCACTCTCTGTCTCATGGGAGAAATTAAAAGGAAGAAAGAGATGAAGGTGATTTGGAGCATTTAGGGCAAGATACAGCACTTCACATAGGAGTTTCACTTTGCTGTGCTGAGGTGTGTCAGGACATCCTGTTAGAAATGTGGAAGACAATTCAGAAAAAAGTCGTGTGTTGGCGCCCAATGCCTGGATGTGCTTGGCTGGGAGCTTCTCAGTTGTGTGCTTTTGGGGTTGCCCAGGGACAGCAGTCCGAGCAGAGCCAGTGGGGACCCTCGAGTTGCTAAGCAGTCCGAGCAGAGCCAGTGGGGACCCTCCGTGGCCACAGGGTATTGACAGACCCCAGAGAAAAGCAGAGCATGGAGCAGGCTGGATTCCACACTCTCCAAACTGGACATCTCGGGGCATCTGCTCCCTTTACTCTCATACTTCTTGCCCCCTTCAAGTGATATTTTGTCATCATGCAAACCTCCAGGTCCCCGTCAGCTTTTCAGGTAGCAGTTTTAGCATCCATTATCTTTGCTCGAGTTAATGCTTTCACTAGCTGTTGAAAAGGGCCCTGTTTCCTAATTCTGTGTGTTTTTTTTTTGGAGAGATTTTCACTGTAGGGCGCGTGCGCTCGCCAGACAGACAGAGAGAGACATAAAAAGGGCCTTGTTTCCTAATTCTGTGTTTTTTTTTTTTTTTTTTTTTTGGAGAGATTTTCACTGTAGGGCGCGTGCGCTCGCCAGACAGACAGAGAGAGACAGAGAGACAGAAAGCGAGAAATCACCCTCCAGGGGGGATAGCCACGCCACAATCCCCTCTCCTCCATTCTCCTCTCGGGATCTTGGGCACGCACGCACACGTGCCCGGCGTGAGTTTTAAGCCACCGGGTCCGGGACATGAACCGTGGTCGACTACGTGGGAGTCCAGTGACATAGCCATTACGCTAACTGCTGGTTCCCCTAATTCTGTGTTTTATTCCACTACTGGTAGCTAGCATTCTTCTGAAAAGCAAGCTTCCCCTCACCAACTGGTGCTGTTCGTTTCTCTGAAATGCAGTTTCTACTAAAAAGACAGGATCAGTGATTAATATTTTCTGCTTATTCATTTTTTTTTTTGGAGAGGTTTTTGCTATAGGGCGTGTGCGCTCGCCAGAAAGACAGAGAGAGACAGAGAGACAGAAAGCGAGAAATCACCCCCCAGGGGGGATGGTCACACCACAATCCCCTCTCCTCCATTCTCCTCTCGGGATCTTGGGCACGCATGCACATGCGCCTGGTGTGAGTTTTAAGCCACCAGGTCCAGGACTCGAACCGCAGTCGACTACATGGGAGTCCAGCGACATAGCCATTGTGCTAACTGCTGGTCCCTGCTTATTCATTTCTATGTGAGGAGTTGATGTAATAGTCCCTGACGTGCTGGAAACTGAGAGTAATATCCAGGTCCCTCACCGACAGTAGCCCCAAGATCCTGGACATAGAAGTCATACTTGAATTTCACCAAACTTCTAAGATTAAAAACGTTTCGCCCCAGGGTGCATGTGTTCACTGGAGAGAGATGGGTGGAAGTGAGAAGTCACCCCCCACCTGGGGGGGGTGGCCATGTCACAATGCCTTCCTCGCCATTCTCCTCCTGAGACTTTGAACATGCACATACACATGTGATCTGGGACTCGAGTTGTGATCAGCCACATGGGAATCCAGAGCCTTGACCACCACATCACCTGCTGGCCCCTCTGTTGGAATTCTTTACCCAGTATTTATGGACTACCATGTGACAGCGTACCCCAGCGTTCGGGAGATGCGACTCTGAGGTGCCATGAGCTGCAGCTCCTCCCTTGCTCCCTTCCCTTCTTCAGTTGTTGTCCCGACGTTCCTGCCATTTTTGCCGTCCTGCCAGGGGTTTGATCCTCCTCCCTGGGCAGGGACAGTACTATTCTCACCCTTGAAGTCATGCTCCATTTCAGCTTTCTCAAACCACAGTGACCAGAAATAGAGTTTTTTTTCTGGTAAAAAGTATTTGCTTTTAGAGTTTAATTCTGGGGCCAGTCCTATCCCCCATGGCTGGCTGTGGGTCACATCCAGCCCTGGTGGCTTGATAAACAAGCTGCGTGCATGTGTGCATGCCCAGAGTCCTGACGGGGCGGGGGGAAAGGGAGGTGGGGTTGCAGCGTGACCATGCCCTTGTGAGGGTTTTTCTCTTACTCTTTGACAACTGCATGGAGTTAAAAAATAAACACCAGTAGTGGCCACCAGGTGATGTGGTGGTTGAGGCACTGCATTCCCACCTGGCTGACTGGGATTCGAGTCCTGAACTCACAGGCTTGAAACTCATGCTGGGCGCATGTACATGTGTGCTCAAAATCCTGAGAGGAGAGTGGAGGAGAGGGGATTACATTGTGGTTATCTCCCTGGAGGGTGATTTCTTACTTTCTGTCTCTGTCTCTCCGACAAGCACACACACCCCGTAGCAAAAATCTCTTATAAATAAATAAAATTGATGAATTAATTAGTTTCAAAATAAAATTTAGTTCTTGGGACCCACAGTTGGCAAAATGGCTATGGACTCCATGAAGTCAACCGAGGTTACAGGCCCACACCCGGAAGC